CTAAAATCTAATTCATATTCTAACTATAAAATATCAGCTTACCTCTAAATGCGACCAGCATTATATGTACTTGACAATTCTAGGTGCTTGCAGCCGAAATGATATAGGTACCACAAAATTATGGGATAGGAACGATACTATGATAAAAATCAGAAGTTTTTCGTTGTACTCTTTGCTATTCCAAAAAGATTCGTGCATAAACATCTTCATCGCACACAATGAGAAGTATAAACTGACGGCGTAGAGCGAGAGACAATAGATCGTCGGTATCAACCATGATGAAAAGGGCAGGATTCCTAAGAAAATTATAAAATATGTAAATCTCTACATAATCTCAATTATGTTTTTCTTACTATTAATTTTGCCTTATGAAGTAAGCGTTCACTTAATCTATACCACTACAGAACAGGAAATATTGAATTTTAAAACCATAAAATATCAATTTAGCTTTGTACAATCACACATTTGAATCCGACAGGAAGGCTAAATTTTAAACGCTTTCAGGACCAACTGATTACTACTGTACACAAAGATAGCGTTACGTCCAAAGTATTAATGGTGATGCTGATATTTTAGTGAAACAAAATGTATTAAATATCGTTATGAATTAGTAAAAAAAGAATCAAGAGAAAAAACATGAATGTTTGGTTATTATTGAAAAAATTCCAAACCACGCAGCCTTTTGTCTTCAAAATGCAGACAAAGAAAAAACCCATCAACGTTTCGCCAATTCAGGCATCATCAGGACAGAAAAACAGCTAATGGAACATCACTCCATGAAATCCAAACACATACTCAAGTATGAGTGACGTTTTATTGGCTGTTTTTCTCTCCTAATGATGCCTGAATTGGTGAAACGTTGACTTTTTTTTTTTTTTTTTGCCTGCATTTTTGAGACAAAAGGGTTTGGAATGGTTTCAATAATAACCTTGGATTTATTATCACATTATATTTTAAAACTATGTTCTGAGCAGGAGTGTTCCAGGTTCAGTAAATTCATTTTTCATTTCTTTCTTTTTTTTTTTTTTTTTATGAATATGAACAAATACTTCATATCACCTATCACTCATAACTTGTAGATATTATTTTTGTTATGTGTATCATATTATATTTTTCTAAAAGAGATGTATCTGTAGTATAGTTGATGGATGATAACAAAAAATCTGAAATAATTTATGATTTTTTTTTAAAAACAGATTTTAACTTAGTTTAACCGCTTAAATGTCTTCTTTGAATGGTTTTAAAATTTACAAATTCTACATTCATTCAAATTAAATTTTGTCTTGTTTACAGTGAAGCAATTGTTAATTGCTAAAATTAAGTATAGTTTTAGTAAATCGCTGCCTATGCGACAAAAAACGCGACTTATTTAAAAAACCACTAAAATTTAATTTCCTACTTTCCTGCTGAAAATCGGACTATTTTTTATATCAACATTTTTGTAGCTCTTGAAGCCTGCTATCGCCCTTTTAAAAATGTCTCTTTACTTACGTGACAATCAGTAAAATATGTTTGGTATGTATATTATTATCCTTTATAATTTATTTGTTCATTGTTTACTACACAGTTACATGTATTTGTTCAAGGATTTTTTTTTAATAAAGTATTATATATATATATATAAATGAATTATTAAATATAGCAGAATTCTTTTCTGTTGGTAATTTAAGTATCATGTCCCTTCACCTAAAATTTATGTAATTATATATTTAATTTTTTTTCTCTTAAACCACTTACTTATCGGTTTGTGGACTTTTAACCGATATCCTTTCGAAATTTGTTAAACTTAACAGGCATAATTAACAACCTGAATTTACCTTCCTTGCCTGAAAAACGAGTTTCCTAGTGGCCGATTCGCTCCAGACCTGGCAATAATATGAATAACTTTTTTGGTCTCATCTAGACCTTAAGTGTGCTTTGTGAATGTAAGTTTATAACATTACGTTCAAAATTAAAATTAAAATTATTTTTGAAATGTTCCGGAGATTAGATGTTTTTCTAGAATTTGTGTTGAGTTCATAAAAAACAATTATAAGATACTCTAAAATCATCTTAACATTGGCTCTTTTCCAGCTTATGTGTTAAGTGACTTTTTACATACCCTAAGAATAAATATCGATTATATCAATAAAAGAAGATATGATAGATTTAAGCTCTAAATTACTGTTTAGTATGCATCGTATTTAATCTAGGATCAGTTATTTGTTGAAACCTTATTTATAATTAAGGCCCTAATTAACACACAACAAAAACCATTGAATATTATCTAATGTTCCTCAAAAAAGTACCATAATTTAAAGCTTGCCATCAAAAGTACGATAATATACAAAGTAATAGTGAAAGAAGGTAACAAAAATTTGTTCGAAGATTTAGAATTGCATTTTTCATACAGATAAACATATTTTTGGAAAAAATGATACATCCGCATTGAAATCCCGATCTTGTTTTAATCTATCTCAAGGATTAGGTCAGCGATCTCCAAACTTTTTCAAACGCGGGCCAAATTGAGGCTTCTACTGTGGTCCTTACGGGCCTTATTGAAATATCCGTGGTCCCGCGGCCCAGGACTTGCCGTGAAAAAATAGTCTTGTTCTGTAAATGACTATTTGGCGACGAAATGAGCTTTATAAGAGAAAAAAAACTCATACAGTAAATTTTGTACTTTACAAAACGTGTGAGTGATTTACTGATGATAAAAAATATGATTGATTTCATATTTTTTATGTAGTTCTTAAAAATTTATCGTGTAATCACAGAAACTTTTGCATGCTGGATGGGAGAGTCTTGCATGTCTTAGTATGGAGATCCCTGGCCTAAGTGATAGGTGATAAGTGATAATTACCTCTTGCCTGGTATAAGACCTCACATGGATTAGCGGCATCAAAGGCAGTCTAAGTTCAAATGCTTGGCTAAAACGACACTCGGAGCACTGAGAGGTCTGCCCTGTCATGGAACAGCAGTTTTTCCTTCACGCCCTGACAACTCTTGACATTTTGTAATGAAGCCTAAGTAAAGAAAAGTAGACAAACAGTTCATTTCTGACAGCCATGGCATATTTAGGTTAGAATAATTGATAACCGTTACAATCAGCATATTATTGATCTGAGTTTATAATTTTTATGAATTGTTTTTCTTCGATGGTGTACCTGGACCAGTAGAGGCCCTAGACTGTTTTCCTGATCTTCTTGGACCCAAATTCAAAGCAAAAGTAATAGGTAAATCAAACTGAAAATGTTGGAGAAAGACAGAAATGCTCGAAAATTCACAAAGGTCAGAAACGACCTGCTGGATTCCAGCGGAAGGCAATCATTGTCGAAATGTTAAAAAATAAATAAATAAATATATATATATATATATATATATATATATATATATATATATATATATATATATATATATAATTATAGATATATTGTAAAACGAATATAAATATTTATAGTAAATTGAGAAATATGTTATAATAAGGTTTCATCAACCGGATCCATCGACACCAAAAGTCGATGTAATTTAATTGATGAATATTAAAACACGCTGAATTTGATGCGCCTAGGAACGACCTGAGGAATTTCTGATAGCAATGTGTTCAACGCTGAGTTTAACTTTAACTTGCTTACACTTCCTAAGTTTTTTTTTCCTTTAATTTATTAAAGGCGTCAACCACTGAAGTCATTATCAACTTAAGTCAATGGTTAAAATTTAAATTAGGAAAAATATCTCTGTCAGTCTTAGAAAGTCAAAACATCTGTTAGTCATTTGTACATTGTCCAGAAAAGCGGAATAAATATTGTGTGGATGTCCATGAGTGATTTTTCGTTTTCATTCGTTCTGCATTCTGCTAGAAGAAAGTGTTTCATAGTAAGCAGACATCCGCAGGTCTGGCATTCAGTTGGAGATTCGCGAGACATCAGGCAACCGTGAGTCAGACGTATGTGGAAAATGCGCAATCTCGCCAGAAATACCTCCTTACTTCGCTTGTTTTGGAATGAAGATTTCCATTGAGAGACATCTCTTTTAATTTCCCTCAGTTTATTTCCGGAGACAGCTTAGCATTTTTCAGGTTATTGCATGTTTGGCCGCCCGATGAACCAGTTCATTTCCGGTGATACCGCCTATGAACCAAGGACACAGGCAAAGATCACTGAAATGTTGCTTCTGTTGGCTGTCAATAATGAGAATAAAATATTTTGCGTAATATAACTTTCTAAGTTTCAAGGATTACATCAGGGATATTTTTCTGTCCATCTTATTTATGTTGACTGTTAGGAGAGGGAAGTCATTTCTATTGCATATAATTTCTTCAATCTTTTTTGATGCTATGAATATCACTGATTATTTTAAATATTATATGAGATTAGCTAGTTTCTCAACATTTGGTTTTGAAAGTGACTAAAGAGGAATCTTGGATTATATGAAAAAAAGTGGTGTATTATGTACAGTGAACTTGAATACTGAATCCAGTCTACAATTCTTGTTAAGAGCAAAGTCATCCGCGAAAAGAACTACTTATTTTGTTTGAATACGGAAAGAAATAGATCATTTCTTCTTTCATCTCTATATTATTATTGTTTATATATCATTTTTCTTTTAGTTCTTTGTATTTTAATTCGTATGCCATATATATATCTAATTGTTTAATATACTATTCATTTACTACATATATAGGGGTTTTTTTGGCTAAATTGGTCTCAGCGGAAGTACCGCAATGATAAAACTGCGTTCGAAGCGGTGTGGGTCCGAGTTAAAAAAATAATGTATATTCTATGGCGGACCCCAGAAATTAATCTCGACACTCCCACATTGGTTATCTCTCGGTAGCCATCAGGAGCTGATAAAAAATACCAATATGTCTTCTTTCATGATTTGTTCTCATCCAATAACAATGGCAGTACAAGTATTGTAAAACTATATAGAATCTTTTAATTTTTTATCTATTTACTTACCCTTCTGAAAATACAATTAATTAGTAAGCGTTACAGCAGGTTCGAGACAACAACCTTTTTTTTTTTTATTAAATTTCAGAGTTCAGAATATATTTTAAAATAAATTGATAATTATAAATGCGTTTCACATATAGTAAATGGTTCTCTTGTAGAGGTGTAAAAATAAGATAATGAAAATAAAACAATAAAAAAAAAACTGAAGGGGTGAAATAAAATAGGTAATATAGAAATTGAGAAAGTTTATTTAGTTTTAAAAAACTTGAAAATATACAACTTGAAAATATTATTTTAAATCTAGTTATTAATAAATAATATTGATTAACTCAATAGATTTTTTTATTATATAATAACACAAACACTTTTTTTTTTTTAAACTTTTATTATGATATTTACAACTGTATTAGTATGAATACATCAAGTAAATGTGTACATAGGAATATAATCACATGAAAAACGCTTGTTGAGAAACCACCCATTGGTAGCACTCTAATAATTTGTCTACATGAGGAGATCACGAGGCCATCTCCTTTTCAGACGCCTCGGAGGGTTATCAGGAATCGAATAGGAAGCAAGGTTAGAAACAAGAGGATTCGGATGGTTATGAAGTTTATTATGGAAGGATAGGTATCTGGATTTGGCCAAATCGGAAACATATGGAACATTGAGGTAACACAAACACTAAGCTCTGAAATTTTCGAGATTGGGTACATTACCAGAAGATAGTAAATATTTGATAAATATTTAAATATAATAATAAAAAATACAAGATGTTGAGTAAATGTATTACTCAATTCTCATTACACATTAAATACGAGCAAATTAAACTGAGAATATTAAGACGATTCTCCATGGTGTATTACTCTCTTCTGTATTGGAACAGCATTACCAAGTATGTAACAGAATTAGAAACAAGCTGTAAACAAAAAAAAAATCACCATGAACATATAAACTTATCATCAAATATTCATTGATATATATGTTTGTGTGTGTGTTTTATCTGATAACTGCTATCAAAAGTTATATTCTGAATATGACGAGAATATTATATTTGTCAGACTTGTGTTTTTCAAGCATTGTGTTATTAGCCAATGTTTTTTAAATCCCATTTTATAATTTTTCCTGTCTCTTGCCGGTGTATTTTGATATTTGGGATATTAGCGGAGTGGCGTAGGGAAGAGAAGGACTAATAATACTTTTGGAAATCAGTAGTTTTAGTCCGGGACCAAGGTTTGGGGTTGTGAGTGCTGATTACACTTTTTATATGAACTAGGTTTTTAACTGACTTTTGATAATTTTTTATTGCGATGAACAATAAATTTCAGATGTATGTCAAATTTTATTCCTAGCAGACCAAACTGTTTGTTATTTTGAAGTATGAAATATCAACTCGAAGTGTAATATTTTCTTATTTTTCAAATTAGCATCGATTAATAAAATAATATTTCTTTAATTAAACATTGAGAACGAACTATAAATTACTTACGGTAGTTAGAAGAGTTCTATTTACTTCAACGAATCCTGCAAAAGTTACAATCGGGGGGCATGTGGAAATACATGAAAGTAAGAGCGACATCTGAAAAAATAAATATTTTTATTTATTACATTTAAACAAAAATATATTTTAAAAATTAAGGACGTAAAATTATTTGTTAAAGTACATACATCATTTAATGTTTCCTTATCCATCTTCGAGTGTTTTAAATTAAGAACAATAGAAGAAAATTTGGTTCCAGCCTTAAAAAAACAAAAAAAAAAAAAACGATATTATTTAGAATCGTTTATTTTCAAATGTAAAATAATCATTACCCTGGTACAAAAGTCAGTTAAGAACAAAATAAATAGAATATAAACGATGTTTGATTGAAAGAAAGAAGCTAGTGAAGTGGATTTACCGATTATAATATAAATATTATATATTTTTTTGAATGTATGATAAAAACGATTTAGTATTCAAAGAGTGATAGAATAGTTTACAGAAAAAAGAGTTTATTGATAAAATCTATGTGTGCACGCCCGTGAGTTTAAGTAGGCTTGTGTGGATGTGTATATTTTATATAAATACAAGTTTCAAGGCATAGTAAAATTATTGATCTTTATTTATTAAAAAAAAAAAATACGAAAACCAATAAACATGAATAATAACATCACAAACCTCAATCGTTGTCCTTTCAGCACTGTCGAGCATAAAGAAGAAGAAAACGTATATGGTAGATGATTCGGCGAACTCCCACCAAACATATTCTGCTCGCTTGATGCGGTTCATGAAGCTGGTGAGGCGGCCATACCAACCGATCAAGAAGGAAAAGAAGAGGGACGTCAAGAGACCGCCTGTGGCCAAGCCTATCGCATCACCGAAGGATGAAGTCAACCTGCTGATCATGAGCCAACAGTATCTCTTACGCTGTGTCTCTTTTCCTATCCCTTCCTGAGGGCAATAGTCCAATCAACTCATAACCATTTTATAAAATAATTTAATGATAAAAATATTAAAATGGACAATATAAAATAAATGTCGAAATGAATCACTAAAAATCCCGAAAGAACGTGTAAACGCCAAAGGAGCAGACCGAAACGTAAATAAAACGTTATGAAGAATCCCTTAATTTTATAAATATATGTTTTATGCTCAATATTCTTATAAGAGATGGTACTAAAGTCCTATCAGTAGTAGATGACGACTAACAGTATTTTTCGACACACCATACTTTCTGCCTTCGCCATAAGTTCGCGAGTACTTGTGGATGGATTTTACTCAACAGCTTTCTACAAAACTTCATCAATATCCATTAATATTCGCCCGGACACGTCATTTCTTTCTAGCGTTGTATCTCCACTGCTATTTTTTTCAAATCAACACCGTCCAGTGTGCTGGTCAAGGACACCTTCCCCTTCACATTACCTAATCCCACAAGTTGCTTCAGCTTTTTGGTTTTGTTTTCCAATACTGGTATAAAATTGCGAGAATTGCGTAGGGCACTGTCATGTTTCTTCTTTGAAACAAATAACTAAACTGAGGCTTTTTTAGAATTAGTCGAATGGGATTAAACAAGGTTAGAGAATGCTCTAAAGGGATTATTGATCATTATAAATAGTATAATCATTATAAATATGATTAAAATATTTACAGTCCTTTGAAATCGTGAATTTGATAAAACGGTGATTTTTTATATACCTTATTATTTATTTTACGTGAAATAATTAGTCATACTTGCAATACTCATCTTGCATGAAATAATTATTTTGTACAAAACACCTATTATTTAGCATAAAATAGCTGATATAAACAGTAATTGATAATTTATAGCAATAACTTCGAAACATTTTTTTTTATTCAACCCCATTCAAATTCAAACATTCAACCCCCGGGCCTCGACTTTTTTTTAATTTTTTGGATTAAATCGATATCAGGGTCAGCTCTTATGTTTTAGGGGACGCTTTTTATGAAAATGATATCGGATTACGAATCATTTTCATAAATTTTGAGATAGTGCCCCCGGGGCCCGACTTTTTGTAACCTTTCGGATTTAATCGATATGAATGTTGATTATTAGGTTTTGAGGGACACTTTTTATGAAAATGATGTCGGATTTTTATTTATAAAATGCGTCCCCTAAAACATACTAGACGACCCTGATATTGACTAATTCCAAAAAATAAAAAAAGTCATAAAAAGCGCCCCCCCCCCTCCCCAAAACATAATAGTCCAACCTAATATCGATTTAATCCACAAAGTTAAAAAAAGTCGAGGACCGGGGGGCCCAATCTCAAATTCGATATTATTTTTATAAAAAGGGCCCCCCAAAACATGACTGCTAATCTAATATCGATTAATGGGGGGATAGGGTTGGTCAGGTCGAATATGGCCGCTATTATTGAAGGAAGTAAAAGAAAACATTTAAACTCTTTATAATAATGTCAGAGTAGTAGAAAAATAAAAAGTACTCTTTGTAGGAATTTGGCTGAGTACTTTCTGTAATTCGATATAACACCGCGAGTACTTTCTGTTCTTAACTAAATCATGATTAACGCTGCGCGAGTACTTTCTGTACTTAACTAAATCATGATTAACGCTGCGCGAGTACTTTCTGTACTTAACTAAATCATGATTAACGCTGCGCGAGTACTCTCAGTACTCGCCGATGTCAGGCCGAGTACATAAAATACTCGATACTTTTTCTTAATAAAATTGCTCAAATCAGGAAAGTAATCGAGTACTGCCCATCTCTAGTGGCTATGAACCGAGAAGACTGGCGTGTTATGTTGCGGGAGGCCTCGACTCACCACTGGGTTGTAATGCCGGAAGAAGAATAAGAATAAGAAAATGAAAACATAACTGTTTGTCACGTTTCAAAATAATGCTAACATATGAATACAATAATTTATTTATCAGTATCGAGAATAGAATAGAAAATTAGCTTTTTATCCTGGGACAAATGATAATAGTGGAACGATAGTGGCATATTAAGAGTAACTTACCTTTGATACAATTTGACACAACTTTCGTGCTTGCTGTCGGACTTCATAAAGAGTTGTCATCCAGAGCAAAGTCAACAAATCAGAAGCGTATATCATTAACAAAAACATTAAGCAATTGCTTAATCCAACTCCAACCTGTAGGTATATTCGGAAGCAATATAGAAAACCTAAAAAATATATATTAAATATATATTAGGACTAGCTTTCTGTCATATCTGCGTTAAATTAGGATTATATAATCCTGGAAAAATACAAGAAGCGTTTTCAGTTTCATTCCTTCATATTAATCCAGTTTTTAATGAACAATTTAAAGAACATTTTATTTATTCCGCTTTACTTGACTATGTACTTATGACTGACAGACGTTTTGACTTTCTAAGACGAACAGAGATATACTCCAAAATTTAAAATTTAACCATTGACGCAAAGGCGATAATGACCCAAGTGACGCCTTTTTAAAATTAAACAAAAAGAACATTTACATCATTAATATTTTTAGTTATTTATCCGTGGATCTAATTAATACTCGGATCCTCTGCAAACCGATCTAGAAATGGTGACATACAGTTGTTCACGGAAAAAACATTATTTATCTTTTCGTCTTCTTTTAAGTTTACTCCAATAACGTTGTTCTTGCAGCTTATTTATATATAGCGACTGCAAACGATATTAACGTTGTTTTGATAGCCTGATAGCACATCGGTTTCCAGGGTGTTTGAAGTTAAAAGTTACTGGTATATTCCTGTGAGTCATAGTGTGTGGTTATTCGGCATAAACCCTTGCTAATTGATTGGTCTATCTAACGCAAAAATAATTTATCGAAATGGCCAAGTAATTCCTGAAATTATTGCATTAAAAAAAAAAAAAGAAAAAAAAAAAACAGCAAGCGGCGTTTGTATTCGGCAATCGCATACAAACGATCTCTCCACTCCCTGGTGTTGATGCCGAAGCTATTATTTCATACATCAGGATAGTTAGGTTGCCGAAGGGAAAGATTTATTCACGTCCACTCGATGTGAGGCACTCGGATGACTTTTTTGCATGGCGTACATCGAACATGTTCGATTTTATAGGCATCGTTGTTTCACTTTTGAGTTGCTCTTTCTAACCCATAAAATGCAGCTTGTCCCTCTCCTGCTACGCACTATGCGTTATAATTATTATATATCGAAACAAACTTTTTTATCCTGACTATCAAGAAGTGCAATTTAATTTTGGATGTAGATGCTTAGCAATATTCCCAAATTCTCTTATTATTAGCGTTTTTAATAATCTACACTAACAGAAAGAAATTCTCTGGATTCAAATAGGTTTTACTTTACACTATACGTTATTTATTTAACTATCATTACCTATTGGTAGCGAGATGATCGCGCCATAGTTGATCCATCTGTGACAACTAAGTTGGTTAAATTCTTTAGTGTATTCGGACTAAAACAGAAATAATTATAACAGTTTCTTTTATCCATCACCAAAAACAATTTACATGCAGTAAACATGAAAGGTTCAAGAAAGCAAGCAGCAAAAAGTGCTGAATTAAAATAAGAGCCACAATTCTGCGTAATATTAGGAGGATCGGAAAGTAATGTGGTTTTCCTATTAAATTCTTTTCTTGCATTAATTAAATTCATATACATTAATTTCACACGAGTTTTTATTTTTAATCATTGATGGAACCACCCTCATTATCAACAACCTTTTGCCATCTAGTCTGCAAATTTTCAATGCAGGATCGATAAGAATCAATCGGTTTTTGAGCAAAATATATAGAGATGACATTTTGGACATAATTCAAATTTCCAAACCTTTTGACCAATAGAAAGTGTTGAAACGACCCGAAAAAATGGAAACCCGATGTTGCGACATCGGGCGAGTATGATGGATGAGACAGTTCCTCCTACTCAATTACAGCTCCTACAATTATGTTTTTCCAGATTTCTTCTTACACAGTGCGTTCTTCCATTTTCTCGTTCCCAAATAAGGCGTTTCCTGTTGTCAATCGCTGGCCACCTTTCAATTAAACATTAATTTACACGATCCGATTGTTCACAATAAAGGTCAGCATTCACAGTTTGTCCAGGTTTCATTATTTCAGTATGAGCATTATGAGCAACGCCATGAATATTCCACCAAACAAACAAAAGAGCCTTTTGGAGGTGTAAACCTGGCTAAGCAGTACTTCTAGGCGATTTTTTTTGGAGAGAGCCACTAAGTACTGCTTAGCCAGCCTTATGCGTTTTGGATTATGATACAGAACTCGTTTTTCATCAGACAATAAAAAAAAAAACGCCTTTTTATTGTGCCATTGAAGCAATATGTTGCATGTGGTAGTTATCTAAGCTACTGCAAATGTTCTTGCATGGTCAACCAAGGTTGGTTTAGACTATTTTGCAATTCCTGAATTGTCTGACAAGGATTTGCTTCGCTTCCGCCCTGAACACGTCATTGTCTAAGTTGGTCTTCCTGATCAATGCTAGTAGAAAAGATTAAAATTATCAATTTTAAATTTGAAAAAAAAAACCTTTGTTATTCACCAATGTCTGATGCATTTGCATAAACATCTCAAATGATTTTAGTAGCAACTGTTGGGTTACCACCATTGCGAAACTTAAAAAGCATGCAATGTGCCTAATATGCACCTCTTTTGTTATTTGGTTGGGCATTTCATCAAAAGTTGAGAAGATAAATTTTAAATTTAACAATTTGCAACTAAAGAAATCAATTTAGAATGTCTTTTCCACGACATAGATGTACTCAATGAGCTAACAAATAACAATCAAATGGAGACATACTCAGAAACGACATTACTTTCCGATCCCCCTCATATAATCATGATTAATTCAAAATGGACTAGATGAAGATAAAACGTCATAACGATACGGTTATATATCATCATAGTATGAGATATATATTGCAGGAGTCGCCAACCCCATTCATCTTGAGAACATTTTCAGTTGCGTAGACCAGATCCTATGCGTTAATTCGGAATGACATTCCGAGGCATTATTGATATTCTAATTGATCGTGTAAGGTTATGATTAATGTACTGAAGGAAGTGACTGACGGATTTTCTGAAATCCAGAAAACGAAGTTTCAATCACGAGAAGTAGAAGGAGACGAATGTAAATAGACAATTTAATTATAGAAAAATTAATTAATTAAAAATAGTTGTGTATATTTGTCAGTTATGTTTACTTGTTTTTTGACAAATTTATTATCCTTACAATATTTTTTCCTTGCTTTTTGTAAATATTTGTGATTTATTGCAATCAGCCGACGACTTGAGCTGTTTTATTGATAGATTTTTTTTTTTAACTTTTATTATGATATTTACAACTGTATTAGTATGAATACATCAAGTAAATGTGTACATGGGAATATTATCACATGAAACACGATTGTTGAGAAACTAGCCATTGGTAGCACTCTAATATTGATATAATTGTAACTCCATTTTGTAATATACGGAGATATTTAAGGGTTAATATTTCTTCAATAGATTCGAAAATATTGGTATATGTTAATAAGGTCATTTTATGTTTTTAAATATTTTGGGGGCTAAAAAAAGTTATAATTTTTTTAAATAAAAAATTATTTGAGCTTCTCATCTTTTTGTTAACAATCAGCAAATATGCTAAAAATACAAGATATAAATGGCATGGGGAAAGACAGAACTCAGGAGCAACTCTTCCCAGATTTATTTCAATTACTTAGGATGTTTAAGGTATGAGATCTCTCATCACATTTTTGGTCTGCTATTCATGTTCTGGGTTATGTCAGCTGTAGGTATGTATCTTATTAATCTGTTGTGATGTCCGTTTAAATTAGTATAAAATCATTTGTCGTTATATGTTCTTAAATGTTAGATAAACAAATATCTAAACCCGATATTGGCTTTTTTCTTTCGATATTACGATAATATCGAATCTGTTTTTGCGATACAATATTAGACGATATCGAAACAAAATATCTGTGTCTATCGATATCGTATTATTGCAACATCCCTAAACGCGGGAAAAACGGTGTCCGCTTGCAGGAGATTGGGGTTGGGGACTCTGTTATAGAGTATGACTGTGTGAAGCCTTCAGAAATTTTGAAATTAATCAGGAACATTGATTAGCAAACCATCACTTTTTTATATTGCACTGATTACTGTTTGCCTTTTCACAATGATTCCATCACCTCAAACTTAGACCACAAGGCTATGTACTCCAGAATTTGACCTGATTTTTGCCAATACGTTATCGGGATAACAAAGTTCTGGATCAGATATGTCATCAACATCAAAATTTGGAGAGAATGATCGTAGTTCTGCGAATCCTTAAGCATCGTTATTAGCGAAATCGTTGTTTTGACGGAGAGGCAGCAACATGCTGTGTAAAAAAAGATGGTATAAATGGCTGGGGCGGACGTCATGCGAAATGGTTTAACGCCTAAAATAAAACATTAACAATAAGAATCAGTTTACTATATTTAAAATAATGACTGGTGTGATTTTAATTTGGAAATATTAACTAGATCAGAAGTAATTTATGTTATAAATAAAAAATACTTACCGTCCGCGGACATACTGTAAGGGAATCTTCCCAGTATTCTGAGTAAAACCAATATAGGCCTGATTTGTTTGTAGTAAGAGTTAGACGGACGCTTACGTGGAAACCCGCCTGTCCACTGTGTACCATCCACCCATGCCTAAAAAATAAGGGGAAAAAAAGAATAGATTACTGATTCAAGTTAAAAGAAATGAATATAAAATAAAACATATTCATATTAGAATTTTATTGGAAGTTTTGTCTTCTTTAATCCAGAACTTTCTTATCACGCACATGAGTTGGGAAAAATCATGAAGTACATTTCCTTGTGGTCTTAATTAGATGTAAGCATAATTGTAGACATCATAAAAAAAAAAAAATAAATGATCACACCAAACATAACACATCTCACATCAACTGAGAACATAATAAAACAGAGATGGTTTATTACTCCAAAACAGTTTAGTATAAACTGAATTGAAATTAGGTTTGTCTTCTGTTAGATGATCACGTAAAATTTATCGTTGACAAATGTTGACAAGATCTTGTTGAAGTCTTGATAACGCCTAAAATGATTAAACTTTGACTGGTTAGCTACTTACATTTTTTTTCTTTTTTAAAGAGTTGAGGCTTTATTTGAGAATCTTCCAATGTTCTATTCTGATCATTATTATACATTTATTAATATGTTTACATATTTGTTTTACATAGGAAGCTACGCCGATTTACGATTGATTTTCATTTAAAGAGACACATTGAAACAGTGATGTTAAATGTTCAGAACACTTAAAATATGGTTGAATTTGAGCCTGCCTATATGAAAGGATCTCCAAACATTAGCCCCGAGAGCAACTTTGAGACATCGATTAAGTTTCACGGGCTACATTGAGACCTCCACCCAAGACCCGCGTTTTATGACTTGTGATGAAAAAAAATCTTGTTCTAAATGGCACTTCAGCTGTCAAGTGAGTCATTTATGAAAATCGCAATTGCAATGGTCGAAATCTCCATAGTCCATCTGGTTGAGTCAGATAGTAAAATTATTAGATTTTAATTATTTTTTCCATTAATACTATCATTTCATCATACTATCATTTTTTCCATTAACATCATTGCTTGTAACTAAAGAAAAACATATTTTTTTTATATCCAAATGTTTGTATTTCTGATAGTCTATATAATAAATACCTGATGTTTAGATTTATACATTAAATTGTTTCTCAAAAAATAACTGTTCTGGGCAGCCATTGTTAAGCTATCAACACCATAATTCATTATGGCGTTCCTTATATGGGTTTCAGATGATCTGAAAGTGTAACGTTTGTTCATGTTCACGCCTTGTCGACCCTTTACAGGAAAAGTCAATGAATCTAGATCAATACTGCCTTTACTGAAGAACAGCTATAGCGTATATTTTAATATTATTTTATACCAAAATAATTACAGGGGCTCTTGAAACAGTAGCATTATAATTATATTAAGTAATTGTTTTATATTAAAAATGAAACATTTTTTTTTTTCCATAGCATTACAGACCTTTTAGGTCTTTTGCTACTTAATTCAGCCTTCTCAATCTCTGTCTATCTTGGGCTATTTATTTTCAGATTAAATTAATTTAAATTCCTAAAATTAAAGATGTTTTACACACTGGAGGTTCACTCTGATGAAGATTATGGCTGTCTAACTTCGATCTTTTATTTTTCTTATTCACTCCCCTTCTTCGCCTTTTAGGCTTAACGGTTTATCTAGCGCCAACTAGGTAGATGGATATATTTTCAACATTTGAACGGATTTCAGGAACGGTTGGTTAAAGGGTGGGAAAAATGTTGTTAAATGTTAAATTAAACTTGTTGGAATCATAATTATATTTATAACATAAATTATAGAAAATATTATAAAATACATCAAAAAGTTTTAACTTCAATTTATTCTTGGCAGCCCAATTACTCATTTTTTTTTTTTTTTAAATTTCTATGTGGCTTGTATTAGATCGTAGAAATAATATGATACGGTACACGTAGCGATCGTCCCAATAGAGGTGATTTTAGATGCCAATTACCCTGCAGGTTAGAGACAACAACAAAATTAAATAAATAAATAATTTACTAAACTATACCTATTGCCAACAACTGAGAAAAATTATCTTACAATATTGTTTCTATAATATTTTATCTGAGTGTACACAGATAAAGTGTTCTTTATATTTTTTTTATTTTTGTTGAATTATTTTCCATCTCATATAAATAAAACTAATATGACTAAAATGAATAGTAAAATAAGTACAATAAAATAAATTTAGTTCACTTTTTTCTTTTCTAAACTCTTAAAAACATACTAAATAAAACATTTTATTATAAACCATCTATCTAAGAAATTGTTATCCCATAGGTTTAGTTTTAAATCAGACTCAAATTTTTATTACTTGCCTTATTAGACATGAAGAATTCTAACAACTTAAACAAATACGAATTATTCAAAAAGAAAAAGGGTTCACAAAGCAGTTAGGTTAGGTTATGTGTTTTTTGGGCACTCGACATCATAGGTCATTAGTATCCTATTATTTATTTATTTTATATAATTTTTTTTAGAAATTCAATTATTCTTTTGAATAATTGATTATTATTTTGATACCATCTCCCAGAATTTTCTGGAGGTTTCTCTCAATTCTTAAACCCTGAAAATAGTTGTCCTGTAGCAGACAGACCTCCTAGATGTAACTAATGGTTAACTGGACATCCTACCTAACATATTTTGGAGGTCTTTCCTTTGTTATTAGAAATCCATGAATAAGCTGTGTATGGTCTATCCTCAGTCTTATAACAACCTCTGCTCTTTTATTGTTAAGCTTACTGTATTTCCCAGCACAAGATCTTCCATACATATATATTTCATCATTTTAATTTCTAAAAAACTGCAAGAGGTATCTGAAATTCGTGCTAAATTTCATAAACTGTTGGTAATTGATTCATATACGTTACAATATATACTTTTTGTCTTTAAGATTATGGTCCAGTAGAACATTAGTGTAAATAACCGTTGATGATAACAATTTATAAAAATCCTAATAACCACTTTCCTTTGAAACATTATTTCATCAAGACCACATGAGTTACATTATGATCTAACTTAAAATAATCTATATTTCTGTGATTAATACGTAATTTTTAGTATATATTTGAACAAAAATAATCTTAATTAATTGAGAAAAATAGAAAATAATTATAAAATCATACATTAGCTATTTTTTTATAATATTAAAATTATCTATAATTCAGATTAATATAGATCTATATTAAATGCTGTTGTGAAATGATATTTAAATAAAATAAAAAAGCATTCTTACAATATTTTTAAATTATAAGAGAACCACATCTATCAGGTACAAACAAACAAAAAAAATAATATTTCGAATTCATAAATTCTAAATGTGTTATAACAAGGACAACACTCAAAGGAAGGATATTAAATTGAGAAAGGTTGTTTTATTGAGAAGTAAAAAAAAAAAAAAAAACCTGTACCGTTACAACCCATGAAGATTTTTAATACCAGTACTTAGTAAGGAAGTACTGCTTCATAATCCAAATGGGTCTCTCAATCCCATGGTTATCCATGGCTGACAAAACAGAATAAATAAATATATGCTATAATAATATATGAATGTAAAATTAAAATAACACCTAATTTTCTACTTTTTCTTTATTCTGGTAAAAACTCCTCAATAAATCATTTCACCATTTTTACTATGATAATTAGTAATATGTTTTTTTCCAAATTTCTACTCTGAACAGTTCGATAACCACAATATGGACATTGATGAGGTTTCTCTTTTGTATGAAGAGTCATGATGTGTAATCTTCCCACTCTGTACAGCTCTGAACTTACAATAAGGGCAATGAAGTGGCTTCTCTTTAGTATGATTAGCCATGATGTGTGTTTTCAAATTACCAACTTGAACACATTTATAATCACTTATCGGACACTGCTGGGGTTTCTCATGAGTATGATGGTGATTGATAAAAACAAGTGAAATGGGGAGAGAAAAAAATTATATTAATCAAAAACTAGGTTGCAGTGACAAAATTTACTATAATTTGCATGATGTAAACCAGCTCTATAAGAATTTCGTTGAATGCTTGCAGGAGAATATGTATTCTGCCGGCATGCTCGTGATAAAAAAAAACACGAAAGAATATAAAGTTTCAGCATAATCAATCCTGGTTTGGACTCAGAGCGCCATAATCTGAAAAAAGAAGTTAGAAAAAATATAGAGCATTCATTAAATTCAATTTTCCTCCTTAAGTATTACAGTTACAGCGTTACACCACAGATTGGGAGCACTATATTTTTAATTTGTTTAATGCTGTACTTGAACAAGAAAAATACCTGCTCAGTGGGCTAAATCCAAACTTTTTAAAAAATGTAATAGAAGCGATACTGATAATTATAGAGGTATATCCTTACTGAACACGATGGCTAAATTATTTACCGGAATCATTTCAAGGAGAATAATGCTATTGGCGGACTCTCAGAATCTCAGAACACCCGAAGAGCAAGCAGGATTCAGGAACGGAAGAGGCTGCATTGATCATATCTTTTATTTAGCGCTTATCGGAATAACTTTTAAGACAGAATGAAGATATGAAGATATTTATATGCCACCTCCATCGACCTCATAAAAGCTTTCGATTCAATTAATCACGGACTTCTTTGGAGAAAGCTTATTACCTTAGGAGTTGGAGGGAAAATTTCGACCCCCTCCCCTCTCCCAATAATACAAAATCCATCTCAAAAAAAGATTCTCAAATTTTAACTATACAGCCGTCAACGACGGGTGCGTCAGCTAGTAACTTATAAATTCATTCAGAGTTCGCGTTATTAAACAGTATCATAAAAAAAAACAATAAAATGTTGTCAAATATTTGTTCCATAGCTCCTAGGGTGTCTTGGCAAGAATCCTCGTAAATGGGTCTGATATTTTTCGACCAAGTATCACCAAAACAATTTTCATTGAAATCGGTAACACCACGTCTATAACCCTCCCCCCTTGTTAGTAATAATAGACAACCCAGAAATGAGGTTTTCAATGAGGTATCGTTACTAAAAAATATGTTGATAAGGAAAAGGTTAAATCTTAGCCATTTCAACTTAAGCAAATCAACTTCATTTACTACTTCGATTACAGAAATCTGGTCACCTTCAATAAGGTTTTAGCATTTTGAAAACGGGCTGCTTGATTGTATACAAACTGCTGGCATAAACATTTGTCTTGAAAACTGTGTTATTATTAAAGTCATAAATCAGACGTCAAATACATCATCAAATTATTCATTCTCAAAAATAAGTCTTTATAACTAAATTCCCAACCTTATTTTTGCTGAACACTATCTCATTTGATTAACATTTGTACCACATCATCAGTTTTCAGCGTCATCATTTCATCATTTTCACTGGGGCAAGAAGTCGTAATTATTTTATATCTTCAACACTTCTATCATCTGGTTGCCAGGCAACGTGTGTTTTGTACCCCCCTCGCTCATCCCGAATCAGATTACCATTATGTAAAATTAATTATTGTAACAAATTTGAATTATTCTTTGGACTTTGAACCAAATTTTTAATCAAACCTCTCTCTCCCCGGTTGATATTGTCTCGCTTTATCAATGTTAAAATCTGGTCACCTTCACCTTACCCCTCAACTGAGAATCACCCTTCACTTTTTTTTCTTTTATCAAATTAAAATTTTTGGGAATTTTAGTTTTGAAAATTATGATGACATAAAAGAAATTTCATGTTGAAATTTTTATCTTTATTTTCATGTATACTAACAATTATCTAGTTTAATTTAGTAAACTACGCTATCTTAATTAATGGACTGTGAGCTCATTAGTTGGATATGCCCGTGGGATGAGGGAAAGTGCACTACAAAACCCTAAATATAACAATGGTCAGCAAGATATGGCGTTGGTGGGTGCCCCAAAACCAGATATATATTCAGAACAAACAAAGACACGTATACCTAACTAGAGTCAATTGGAAAACAATAGACAAAGGTGGAACGGACGGTAAATATGACAAAGCGAACAGCAAAAAAAGTAACATTTGTTTATAATTGATTTGGAATGTCAAAGCGGTGTGTTCATTGTTCGTCCAACTGCAGGTGAAATAATTTAAACGCCATTTATTGACTTTCACAAGAAAAATACAGTTTTTTTTTTTGTTATTTCAACACGAAATTATTCTGGGAAATTATTATACAGATGTTTCCCAAATGGTTGATCTAGAAAATGAACTACATGAATTCGTTCAGTGTTTGAAACACGCCCTGATAATGGCCAACTAATAAAAACCTTACAAATGATTGCAAATGATGTCCTGACTATTTATCACCTTCGATAAAGAAAAGTACGATAATTGGTCACAAATATTTTTGAAACAATTGTGGTTCGAAAAATAGCTCTTAATTTTCACGTTCAAGAGAATATTGTCGTCTATAGTTTTTTTCAGAAATAAATATTTAAAGTATCTTGTATTATAGTTTTGTAATTATCGACTTCCATGTCTGGTTCCTTCTACGAACACCGAGTTTTCCTAATGCTATAATGATTGATTCCTAATATGTATTCTAAATATAAAACTACCTACAGTTCAACAAATAATTCAACATTCGAAATCATCTTTCGTAAAATCCTCACTGCTCCTTACTTTGTCAAAAATAAAATGATCCGTAACGACCTTAATGTTCCTTATGTTTCTGACCTGGGCCGATCCAGATACCTATCCTTCCATAACATACTTCAGAACCATCGAAACCTTCTCGTTTATAATCTTGCTTCCTCTTCGATTCCTTACAACCCTCCGAGGTGTCTGAAAAGATCCCTTTTTGTAAATACATCTTTAGAGTGCTACCAGTGGGTAGTTTCTCAGCAGGTGGTTACTGAATGTATTTTTATTTGTAATACAGCTGTAATATCATCAATAAAAAATAAAAATAAAAAAAAAAACATTCGGTGTTCCACCCCTTAAACCGAGATTTGAGCGGGTATAGATGATTGAGAGAATGACCAGGACATTAGCGAGGAGTAGTCTCTAACACCTTTTAACCTCACGAATAATGAGTGGCACTGCGGCGAGCTGCTACTAATCCAGGGGGTTGCGCTTTGGTATTAACCCGGTCATTAACCATGTCCCCGTCCAATCCACTAACCACTCTCACAATACGGTGTTTTTTAGCTTTTTTTTCCCTTCTGTATGTTGTCAGAAAAAAAAAAACATTTATTTTTTTCTGTTATATGAGGGCTTTTCATTTTACAGCTACAGCTTTTCCTTTTAATTAATATCATAAAATAATATTTCTAGAAAAAATCGTATTTCTGTAATCTAATTTTCATTTATGTTAAAATATATAATTTTTATAAGTATACAAATCATTAATGCGCCGCTAATAGTATATTAATTATTTTTCACCATTGAGCTCACATCACATACTGCATTGTACCACAAAATAACTTCACGTTCATACTTTGGTTAAAGAACGTTGGTTACCTGTACCATGTTATAAGATGCCCACATTGCATAAGTACATTAGACTAATATAAATAAATAAACTTGGATTGTCAAGGCTGTGTTCTACCCCATTACAATTTTCATCGTGGTGGGGAATATTTACATTTAATGTTAGATTATAATTGGAGAAATTTCCAACCACACAGCCTTATGTCTCTAAACTGCAGATAAATAATAAAATAATATCCATGATGAGCCAATTCAGTCATCATCAGGACAGAAAAGAAAAGAAATCGAAGATATCATCACTCCACCGCATTCGATCTCATACTGAATGGAAGGTGAGGTAATAGTTGAGCAATATTATAATCAAACAGATGATCGGAAAAAAAAGGCAGATGAAAAACATTTAATTACTGATCAAAATACAAAAAATATCCTAAAAAATACAAATAATAATAAGAGAAAAAATTACATAAGTAAATAATAAAGAGAAGAAGAATTTAAAAAGTACATCGAAGAAATGTTCTGATCAAATACAGCTGATCAGGCAGACCAAGTTAAAAAAAAATTTGCTAAATTCATGACTGATTCAAAATTTTCAACGTTTCAGTTTAATCATTATTCGAATTTATACTATATCATTATATCAGTACTATAATTAACAGCATTATTTAGCTACTGTATAGTATGCATAACCTTAGAACTATTACTATCTATCTGTACCACTCGAACGTTATCAAAATAAAATTAATCTAATATGCTAAGCTAATGGAGTGTTATGCTCCTTTTTGTTAATATTTCTCCAATCGTATAGATGCTAGCACATTTTTCTATGCGAAGTTTCGGACGTTTCACCAATTTACAATTTAGAACAATCCACCCACAAAATTTCATTACTTACATTACTGGTTTAATATTAATTAATTATTTAAGTTACTGGTTTAATATTTCATTTTCAAAAGGTAAGAAAACCTTTTCATCCTGTTAGTAATTCTAATTGCTACCTTAATATCATAAACATCAAGTTCCTTAAAAATAGAAAGCATTTTAATGTTTAAAGGCTTTAAATCATATAGGTGTATATACAATACATATGCAATCAACCTGTTGATTGATTTCGTGTTTTATCTTCATTATTAGTTATTATATGATTTAAATTAGAATTGGGTTTCTTTTTGGAAAATGCTTAACTCAATTAGTTCTTTAGTTATCGCTTCCTATTCAAAAACATAACAAAATAGAAATTAAAAAATTAATCTTTATCATTTACTGTGCGATGTTTAACCATATCCCAGAGGAAATTTAAGTTTAACAACACTCAGTCTTTGTTCATCATTATATCCAATAGTTACCACGTCGTGTAATATAACTTTTTTTTTATTTAATGAAGTTTACAACTGTATACAAATACAACTAATAAATATGCTCAAAATATAAATAATGACATGAGCAGGCTTGAAGAGATACTACCCAGTGGTAGCACTCCCTAAATAATTCTAGGTAAGAAGATCACGAGGCCATCTCCTTTCCAGACGCCTAGGAGGATTATCAGGAATCGAGGAAGAATCAAGGGAAGAAACAAGGGGATTTGGATGGGACTGGAATTTATCATGAAAGGATAGATATCTGGCTCGGGCTAGATCAGCGACATATGGTACATTAAGGTCTTTATGAATGGTTTTATTTGTGACAAAGTATGGAGCATTAAGGATTTTACGGAGGATTTTGGATTGTAAGGATTGGATACGATAGGAATTCGATGGTTTGGTGGAGTCCCAAAGCTCAACTTCGTATGTCCATATAGATCATATTATAGTTATGTAGATAAGTCTTTTGTAATTAATTGAAGGTTTAGAGCGTTTGTCTAGTAAGTGTTAGAGTAGTCGGATAATATAATTAAACTTTATGTTTTAATATTTTGAAGATCGGGTATCTTTTTTTTTTGCATTGATTCTATTGTTTATTGTTAGTGAATCGTCACTTGGTAAAATTAAATCAATATCACTAAATTAGAGTCTGAATTTATAAGAAGGTTCGCTGCCAATGGTGTATTATACAATAATTTATTTGTAAATTTCAGTCTGGAATCCCCAACAAGGTCATTGCAGATCATGGCACCTTCTGGAGTCTCCATCGAGTCTAGGGCTGGAGATATTCGGGCCACTTCCTTGACCGACTTCAAACTAGAATCTATGGATGGTGCTGTGAGTATTCTTTAATTATTATCATTACATTATTATTTCTAAAATGTTTTACTTTCTTAAGTTTGGCAGAAATATTCACCAATCCGGACCAAGAACAAAAGGTTGAGTTCAAAATTGTATTCCCTATTTTGAGTCAATTAAACATCTGATAATGTTCGGAGAGCTTCTTTGTGCTCTTCTTCCAATACTTTTTCTCGCAGCTTCGAATTCTAAACATTATAATTATTAAATCTTATAATTATACTTCGTCTTCGTTTCTTTCTTTGGAATAGTTTAACTCGTTTATTAATTAAAAGTATGAAATATTTTTTATTGTACCTTATTACATGGATGAAGCTTTTTTTTTTCTATAAAAGAAATTTTTACATTTATAAAATACACAGTTTATTAAATGTATTCTATCGTCTACATTTGAAGCCCTTGAACCATCTTTAGGACAACTTTTTTATCTGAAAATAATTACAATTAGAATAAAAATAAAAATTCCACATATGATTTTAAAATATTAATAAAAATAAATTAATCGTAAAAGGAAATGTTATTTTTTTAAGCATATTTTATTTCTTTCCAAATAGAAAAAAAATCGTCCAGAGGATGAACTAAGAGCTCGAAACGTTAACGATAGAATACAATTAATAAATAATATATTTAAAAAAAAAAGAAATTTCTTCAAGAAATACAGTGATATATTCAGGTTACTTCCACAAAGCAGGTATACGATATATGGGTGGTTGATTGTTACTCGTGTATACAGTGAAGTTTGGCTTTTAAGTAGTGTTGCCCAAAATCGGTCTTGCTCTTGCACTTTGCAATCACCAAACTGACCAAGGCCGCCAAACTGTTACAAGACCGAGACCAAGACTGGTAAGGCAAAATAGTTACTAATACTTGACAATTTTAGTTACTATACGTTAATAATTGGTATAACCAATATACTTTTGCATTTAACTCATCTAATTTTTCATTCGGGCTTAGTTAAGTTTCTTCTATCTAAACAATCGCAGTAATATTTCTATAGAAATAAGCTAATAAGTAACTGCAAGACTGTTGCGAGACTCTTGCGCAAGACCAAGACCATGATCAAAACTGAGGTTGCAAGACCAAGACTCCTCTCGGTCTCGCATTTCGGCAACACTACTTTTAAGAACTACGCTTATATAAATTATCTTCTTGAATATATAACTTTCTTGAACAGCAACACTTGATTTCATAATTTTATTTATCTACTTAAATTTTACAATGAAATGTTTCCTTTTCCATATAAAATATATTATTGAATTAAATATCTCTCCCATTAACTTAAATTAAAAGTTTACTTACGATACAATCATAATTTATATATGAATTTTTACATACTATTTAATTTTATTTCAAGTTTCATTTTTTTTTTTTTTTTTTTTTTGTTAGTTCTTCTTTCTTTTATTTTCGCTTTGCTTTTGTAGTATTGTACATATAGTATGAATGCGCTTCATACAGCTCTAATACTCAGTGCTCTTAAGTCTGGAAAAAGTTATTATATCTTAATAGAAAGATTTTTTTTTTTTTGTAACAATCATACTTTTAATCTTAAAGAGTTTTAAAATTAATCTAATCTAATTTGGACCAGGCAAAATAAATAAAAAAACGTCTTCTTAATTCTTTTTTTTTTAAACATTTATCAGCTATGATCATTAATTTTAATATTATTATAAGCAAAAAAAGAAAAACAATGGAGGCGCCGGGCATCTGAGCTACGCCCCCTTCAGGTTACTTGGATCAATTAAATAAATAATGAAACAATTATAAAGTAGATTACTTGAATAATAATTAAAATGCCGCTGTTTATAAAGAAGCAACACCTAATTAAATAATAGCCCTAAATAAAATATTTTCAATTTATGCGTAATTATAATCATCTTATTAAATATTATTACACAAAACTTAAAAATCATTAATCACTGATTTGCCCAAAGATAAGCAGCGCTATTTTATGAATGTTTACCTTGTTTACCTTGTTTTCGATGGTAGTGCGTTGCGTTTAATGTTATTATTTCCATTATTAAAAAAACAAACAGAAAACAGTATGCTTCTAATAATAGTATTCAGCACTATTAAATGGAATACCGGAACAAAAAAGATTTTTTTTTTCATTTCTGAAATTGAGAACTGAAATCATTAAAGTTGAAATTAAATTATTAAATGAGAGTTGTATCATAAATAAATGTTTTTTGACCACTTATCATTTGAAATATTTGTATTAGATTTCTAAATGGTATCTAATAAAAATCAAATACTTCTAAACAAAATTACGCTGTTTTATATGGGCTTAAGCCATTGATTGGGTCATCCAACGATGAATAGAAAATAAAATAATAAATCTTTTAAAACAGAGAAAATTCTAGAAAATTGTTGCTGCAATTTATTTCTTATCATTTATTTTCAGTTCTAATCATTCATTTATTTCCAATGCTCTACAGTCCTTTAAGAACCATAGCCTCTGCTGAAGTCTTCTTCCACATGTCTCAATTAGCAGCTAAGCGCCTCCACCGCTTTACGCCCATTTCTTTCAGGTAGACTTCCACATCGTCCAACCATCTTCTTCAATCATCATTCTTCAATCATATCAGCTTTCTTCAATCTCTTGGCTTTCCATAGACAGTTTTCTTGACATTCTTGTAGAGTCCATCCTCTCCTTATTGTTTTCTCTATCACTTCTCTAAAAAATACTGTTTTGTTAGACATCATATTTAATATAGATTCATATAAGACTTGACCCGTATGAAGTGCATTGCTTCAAACCATATATTTTTTTAAAATAAGAAACCATAAAACAATTTTTTTTTTTTTTATAGAATAAAGATTGAAATACTTTTGACTAAACATCAATTATATATGAGTAATATTTTTTTTATTGAGGGAACAAAAGTGTGAAATGTAAATTAATATTATTTATTTAAATAAATTAGCATCAAATTCATATAACACCTCCTGGTTTTAGATCCGGCTGGAGGCGGCCAAGGTTGTCATTCCAGGCTTAAAGACCGCCCAACCCCGAACACGAACCCCCGGAGCTTCCGCCTCCTCAGTCTTCCAGTTGTGCTCTTGCAGCAACGGAAAGCTATTCCTGGCACCTGGGGACGGCCTCTGCGCTGCCGACAGTGAGAGTATCGTCTGCCGGTGAACGTGGAGCTCGAAAGATCTGGGCCTGGCTTGTGAAAACTGTGTAACATTTCAAGGCTGTCTAAGCTGCGATTATTAGAGAGGAAGTTAACCACTGTTGATGTATATTATTTCTCACAATTGTACATAATTAATTTAATTATAATTTTATTTTGTATTTTATAAAATTGATTGTATTTGAACGGGTGCCCAAGCACTGGATAGACACGATTTAGTTTTGTTCATAAAGACAAAATCACACTCCAAGAAATATATTTAATAGATTAACGATACGATTAATTATTCGATTACTTCAAACAGGTCAGTGAAATTGTTAAAACATATAGCCTATCGTAAATTTCAATAGTACCAAATAATTAAAAAAATAAAAAAAATTCATAAAATTTTTCTTATAGATTTTATGTTACCTTATTTATGTCGAGATGTTAAGCTTCTTTAGCAGCATAAATAAAATCGCCATAAACGAAATACCGATTTCGATTAAACTTTAAGGATATGTAATGAATATTTTGGAGTCGCAGGAAACACCAAAATTTCAAGAATAATTTGTTTCTTTTAACTGTTTTAATATGGTGCTTATGGAGAGCTTTACGAAAAAATACCGAAATAATCATCGGCTCTATGTTGAGCAGTTGTCTCAGAAAAACATAGTCTACATTTAAAGACAAAAAAGTTTAAACTAAAAAGTAAGAAGTGAAGGAGGAGGAGAGATGATTCCTCTTCACCTAAGGTGGATCGCTTGGAGACTTTAACGCTGGGCTTCATTAATTATAATTGTTTTTTTATTAATGTCTTGTCGAGTGATTTGCTTTACTGAATTCGCAACAAGATCTCGACTAGAATCTAAGTAATATATACAAAAACTAAAAGATAAAAATTATTCTCATTTCGCTATTCGATTATTGTTTTAATATAAAAAAAAAATCGGTTCTTTGTGAAGTCGGTATTATTATTAAATTCATTGAAATCGGATGTTGTGTCTAAAAAAATGGTAAACAGAACTTCCCTTTCTTTGATGGCTTTTAATTGAATTACAAACCATTCGCTTAACATTCAATTTAATTTTTCATTAAAAATATAACATTTTTACTTATTTCCTATATTCAATAATTAAAAAAAAAGAATAATTTAAAATGTCATATTTCATAATGATGATTGTTTATGTAAATCAGAACTTTTTATGTACTTTGTCATTTTTATTTTAAGCTTGGTTTCCATTTATTTTACAGATATCAATTTTATTAACAGCAAATTAAAAAAGGCCAACAAAATTACCGATTTTTCACAAGTGTACTTATTAACTACAATGTTAAAAATATATACTTAACATTTCATTGACAATCAAAATTTTTAAAAGGAAATACATTAATTGGATTTAGTATAATACTTTATTTGGGGGAAAATAGTGAAATAAGTTATAATCATTTTTTCAATCATAAAACATACCTGTTTTATTAAAAACCATTTTGGATTTTTTTTTCAAGCTAATAGGCACAAAAGGAGGAAGATAAAGAAAATGAACAAGTATTATTGTGAAAATAACATTCCTGTCTTATTTATTTACCTGGAATTAATTTTACTTTTTCTTCCTTGCTCGACGTGGTCTAACGGTTCGTAAAGGATAATTAAACCATACCTGTTATTGTTAGTTAGGTTTACGTAAACAAAAAAAAATTACAAGTAAAAAAAAAATTAAGAAGTAGTTCGCGAAAATTATAACTATTGCTTGAAATTACAAGTGTGTAAACATAATTGTAAATAGTAATTGTTGTTAAAATTATGAAACGCTAATTAACGATGTATATAAAATTATGTGATTAGTTCAATTCTGAAGAATTATTTTAAAACTTGAACGAAACAATTTTTTGTTATTTAAACTTTGGAATTGAACTGCTCACATGAATATAAAGCTAGTAGGTGCATTTGTATATATACAAAATACATATACAAATAATTATATTAATAATAAAACGTAATGAGACGACCTAATATACCGTTTATTTGATTTTTGTAATTTTATAAATAATTTTATTGGGAACAAATTAAAAATTTCTCGCTTTAGTACTTTTTGTAATATTTTAATTCTTATTCTTAGTAATATCCGATTTTTTTACTTGTATTATAATTATCGTGTTTTCGTTTGTAATTTTTTTAATATTGTAAAAAAACAAAAAAGAATTCGATCATTTTATGTAACATTACATTTAAAACAACACAGGGTTAAACTATGTAAAGATATTCATTAAAAAGCAAAGCCTAAGTTAATTATCAATGGATATTAATTAATGCAGATTAAATAAAACACTACTATTTAGTTTATTGTATATTTTTTTTAGTTTTCCGAATTCAGATAAATTTTGTGTTAAATATTAACATAAAATAAAAATAACGAACAAATTATAAAATAAGATCATAATAAAATAATATCATATACTAAAAGGAAATCAGCACAAGGAAAGTAATAAGCAGAAAAGTCCTAATTATTTATTTTATTTTTACATATCTTGAAAGTATTCATTTTTTATTTTTCCATTTGTATTTTTTAGTGGTAAATATTTATAAAAATATTATATTTGTTCTAAGGATTCGAAGGTACTAATAATATTTTTCTGAACTGAAAATTATGTTATGTTATCCAGAAATGTGTCATATATTTTTTCAGATGTAATGTTTGATGCTTTATAGTATAATTAGAAAAAAATGTTAATAAAGAATAAATGAAGATTTATAGTTATTCTTTTATTTTCCTTTGGAACTAAAAAAAAAAAAAAAAAATCACCATTACAACTTTATTAGTTTCGAATCAATTGGAATTGGTTAAAATTTGAATGAAACAATTTTCTGCCCGAAATGTCCGAAACTATGACAGTGAAAGAGTATCATTGTTGATTTTTTTTTTTTTTTTAGTCCTATAAATTTATTAATAGAAATTAAACTTGAGTGCCTTTACCATTATTAACAAAATACAAAATTCCAAACTGTACGTTTCCCTTTCACTATTTGTAAGCTAGAATCGAAACAATTTCTGTGAAATAATATTATGCTTGAAGCATACGTAAGACTACAAAAGATAACCTTCCTATGTCAATTTGCTTGTCTAAACAGGTATAAATTTCCCTAACCACAACACAGTTACAAGAATGCTTCAGTGGTTGAAGAACAGAAGCAATGTTAGTCTGTCTTTGAGTTGAATGAAACTCAAATGGGTTTTCTATATTTCTACCCGTTTATGTAAAAAATAAATATTGAGAAAGAATTAGGAATATTGTATTGAACATTTTTTTCTTATTACATTTATTATAATTAATAATTCTATAATGCAGAAAATTTTCAGCTCCTTAGAATTGTAGATAAATTTTTGGGGATCCACCAAACTATCGAATTGCTATCGCATCCAATCCTTACAATCCAAAATCCTTCTTAAAATCTTTAATGCTCCATATTTTGTCACAAATAAAACCATTCATAAAGACCTTACTGTTCCATATGTCGCTGATTTCGGCCGAGCCCGATACCTATTCTTTCGTGTTAAACTCCAGTCCCATCCGAATGCACTTATTTTCAGTCTTCTTCTTCGATTCCTGATAATTCCGCTAGGCGTCTGAAAAGAAGATGGACTCGTGATCTTCTTACCTAGAATTAAATAGGAAGTACTACCACTGGGTAGTCTCTCCTCAAGTCTTTTTATGTCATTATTTCTAATGTGTGCATATTTATTAATCGTATTTGTATACAGTTGTAAATTTCATTAAATAAAAAAAATATTAAATTTGAGTGAATAGATATTAGTATTAAATCAATTTTAAAATAGAATTTCAATGCAAAGAAATTTATAATCAATGAGATAGGGATAAATAATTAGTAATATTTTTTATAACACGCGCACTTAAAATCTGTAATACTATTTTTTTACAAGATATAAAACAATTAAGACAAAAAAAAAACTCAAATTAAATCGAAGATAACCTTCAGTTTAGAATAGATATAGCATTTAGGATAGAACCAGAACCACACCTCATCAAACCCATAACCAAGGTAAGGAAAATTACTATTAATTATGTACGTAAGCAAAGAACTGTTACGAAAAGGTTTGATAAAACAGCAAAGAATATTTTTGTTTTTTTCTTGAAATATACAGACAGCTTACTAATAGCGCCCAAATATCTTCTAGCATTTAAAAGATTAAAACAATTTACAATTAAATAAATTAAACAAGTCATGTGTCATAGAAGTTATTCGTGAATGCTTACCAGACCATCACTACTGCGAAGAGATCCTTTAAAATAACAAGAAGTTTCTATATACTCTAACTAGCACCTGTTCTCTTATCCTAAGACAAGAAATATGGATAACAATGATCAAATACAGCCTACCCACTGTGATTTGGAGTGAAACAAAATTTAAGGGATTATAAAAATATGATTCATTATTAAAATAAAATAAGAAAAAAATACTTAAATATCAAGCAAAAATGATTCATTGAAAAGAATGTTTTTTTTTTAAAACACTTGAAGTTAAAATATGGTAATATTCAACCAATTTTACCGAATAGGATTTTTTTTTGTATTAAGAAGGCCATAATTTTAGACAATATCTCTGTGGTGACGATTGAATAAATTATAAATATAGATTGGATTACAAAAAGTTAGATGTTAAAATATTGCATGATGAAAAATATGAATTTCAAGATTAATTCCAAAACTTTATATTTAATAATTGTTTTGGGGGGTTTTATTTAGTTGAGGTGATCGAAAACTCAAATAAATTTAGTATAAAATGGTATAGTTAAATACAAATTGAGTATACGTAACCCATATCGATTTTTTGTCATATATTAAATCGAAATAATGGTAAGTTTAAGAAACAAAATTTTTCACATCAATTTACCGACACAAGAATATAAAATTCCTATTATTTGAAAAAAAAAATTTTTTTGTTTATTTTATAGCATTTTTGACATTTTTTGTAAAATAATTAAATAAAAAATTTTAATTGGAGGCGCCGGGCATCGATCCCGGTACCTCTCGCATGCTAAGCGAGCGCTCTACCATCTGAGCTACGCCCCCTGTAAATACGAATTGAATTCTAAAAATATTTTGAGGGCACCAACTGGAGAAGTGAAAGCTATGTCTGAGTCTAAAAGATAACGGCGCTCTGTGTAGGCAACCAGGACGGACCCGTAATACACAGCACCGGTTTTTAATGTAATGTCATTCTTACCAAGGTTGTACTACTTTTTTTATTTTAAACCTTGATAAAATGCAAGCTATGAAAAAAATAAAATAAAAAAAAAATAAAAAAATGGATTTAAAAGTAGATGTAATATGATTGTATTTTTTATTGAATATTTCCTTTATTTAAAATGTAAATAATTTTTAATTGTTAAAGAAAAGAGATCTTATTTACGAAATGTATGCAATTTAAATTGTATTATTTATACAAAGAGTAGCCAAGGAAAAAATGTCAGTAATTTAAGTTGTGAAAATCTAACAAAATAAAAACCACAACGCCATCAACCGCATATTTGTATTTAAATCAGTTGCTGAGATATGATTTTCTGGAAAAGTTTTTTTGTAATAAATCACATTTTTTTTCTTAATTCAAATATCTCTTACAAAACTAAACATGCCTGAACTTTCATTACCAATTTCCTAGAGACGAGTAGCTCCTCACAAGGCTGAGGATCGATCATAGCAGACTGACACAACTGATAACCTCTCAACCTCATAACAAAAGATTTTATATCCACGGAGCGGGAGGGAGCGGCTTTTGGGCCGAAGCCCGCCTAAAGAAGAAAAATATTAATATGTGTAATAAAAAAAATATATATCTCTAAAAGTATTATTACATTATTAGTATTACATTTAACAGGACTTTAAGAATGGCGTAAACACCACCCTCATCCCAAAATAATGTAATCCTGGATCCGCTGGTGCACAGGTGTCGAAATGTGATCAAATATTGACTATAAAAGATGTTTTAGAAGAATGCTAATTTCACATCACGCGGTTAATAGAATTTGGAATTCTCAGAATATATTTAATAAGCATGCATTTAAAACAAGGAGGAAAAAGTTAATAAAATTTAGGATGTGATTGCTCCAGGTCTCTATAGGGAAAAAGTGTTTTTTCTGATTCAAATAAAAAATTACAAAATCCATAAATCGAAAACCAAGTGTGATAACATTATTAGTAATATTTCCTCTTCAAACTCGTTTCATTTAATGAAGAACTCAATTTTTCATAATTTAATATATAATAATTTAATGTTAATTTTATTATTAGGTGCATATTGTTTTTAATGTTTAATATTTATTTATTGGATTCTTATTGAAATCTTATTGTGAAACCATGTAATATTACTAGCAGAGAATGTTTCGGAAAATTATTAAAAATTAGTTTGGTGTCCTTTAATTTATTTTTTATGCGTTCATAATGATAATGGTGAATAAAGTTATAAGATAACATATAATAATAAGGTATATAAAAAAAAATTGTTATACCTTATAAGCAAAAAGTTTGGCAGATAAGAGCAAGCGGAAGGATCTTAAGCGTTATAAATCGTCCCGGTGATTTTAATGCCTCCAAGGAAATAGCCTTCCTAAGTCAAAGGTTTGGTAAATATTTAATACAACCATATTGTATATTTTAAAAAGATTATAGATTCTTTGTGTCTAAACAGAAAATCTAAATAAAAATCTGTTTCAACATTTTTTAGTATTGTTTATTACGATTATTGAAATTACATAAATGGAGTAGTTATTCACGAAATCCTATTGTATTTAAAAGGAGGCGCCCATGTTAAAAAAAAATGAAAATGGTTTGTGTCATAAAAATATTTTCAAATTTATTTTATGATATCTGTAAATTTGGTTCAATGACAAATTCTATTCTTAATCGTTTTATTGGTCCTAAACTGTTTTAAAAACAGAATAACCAACAACTAGACGAATAATATAAATATATTATTTTTCTGCAATAAAATAATCAACTTTAAATAATATTCCTCGAAATTATATCCTTTACTTATTAATATATACCCTTGAAAAAATATTTAATAGTAAGATTTACAAGAAACTATACTTTAATGAATAAAAATAATTTTATTCTGGGACTGCAGTTCTCTAGGAATAATAACCGAATTAGTATTGCAATTCTCCAGTTGATTAAATTATGCAGTGTACAGAAGCATGTAAATTTTACATGTTTGAGGAAGTTTGAATGTAAAGTAGGTGATGGAAAAGGAGTTGTTTGAAGGAATTTATGGACGAGGATCGACGTATTGAGATAGATAAGGAGTCTCAAATAAGGTAGCACGAATTATGAAGAATTTGCTGAAAGAACTAGTTATATGAGAGAGAATATATGAGACTATAGGTAAAAATAAAACTATTACTAATCGTTTTATAAGGGGCAAACTGATTTAGAAACAAAACAAGCAACAACTAAACAAAATTATTTTTAGAAAATTATTTAAATTAACAAGGAATTTAAAATTTTGTATATAGTGTTGCCCAAATACGAGACCGAAACGAGTCTTGGTCTTGCAAACTCAGTCTTGGTCATTATCTTGGTCTTGCGCAACAGTCTTGCAGTTACTTATTAGCTTATTACTATAGAGACATTACAGTAATTTTTTAGATAGGAGAAATCTAAATAAGGACGAATGAAACATTAGAGGAGTTAAATGCAAGAGTATATTGGTTATACCAATTATTAACATAT